TTCAAGGTTATCAATTTAGTCAATCACTGGGTAGCAGCAACTCAAACTAAATTCGATCCTGTGGAGAAAAAGACTTGGGCAAACACAAAGGAAAAAAAAGAGAAAGGAAGGGTACTCAGTCGAGACAGGCTGTGTGCAGAAGAAACTTGACACAAGCACATACTATATTCAGTATGGTGGCACTGAAGTGCACAACTCCAAACCTAACAGAACCAACTCTTCCTTCTGTTCTAACTCATAGAATTTTAATTAAGCCATAGATTTAAGCGCCTTAAACACGCCTTTAGAAATACTTCCACTGAGAAACAGCTTTCAGATGCAGAAACTGTTATCCCTAGTAACATATCTACATAACAAGATCTAAAATGTGTAACCACAACAATGAATCTAACAAACCTAAAACTACATCCCTTGGCATTTTTAAAAGAAAATATTAGAAGCTAAAGCTAGTCTGCTGCTGGAATAATTTACAGATGAGACCTGTATTTTATATGAGACATTGTGGTTTTTCCACTAGAAGGTTCAATGCATCTTCCACCAGCACAGTCAGATTTATCACCCATGGTGGATGAGTTGCACACACATAACCAAGTTTTCCAATAGCACTTTGATAGATGCTGAAGTTCTCTGGAAGACCTAATCTACCTTCTGTTAAGCAAGGCAGATTTACAACTTGCAGTAAAAGAATTGCTAGTTTTACCACCACACCTCTTAAAAAAAGAAACATCCTTAGTTTAGAACATAAAATCACAAACCTTTCAGTTCTGTATTAGATGCTTTTGCTGAAAGAAAAAAAAAAATACAACACACCACCTACTCCCCCAGAAAAACACCAAACCAACCAAAAAAACCACAAACAGATTAAAAAGAGCATTTACTGCTTAGAAGAGAAACAACAGTAGAATGTGTGACAGCACTTCTAGTTCACTAGAAAGAGCAAAGCAAGTGCTGTCTTTGTGGCAGCAACATTAACAATGGCTTGCTGGGTTACAGCTGTAAACAGTCCAAGAGAAATAGCCATAGAAAACAAAAAAAAAACAACAATACAGAGAGGCCTTTTAATTCCCTGAGAGGCCACCAAGGCATTAACACTGCCACGTGACTCTTCTGTCCACTATGACTTGCACAGAAGTCGGAGAGGCTTCATCTGCAGGACTACCTATGCTCTTGTGAACCAGCTCCCCCTCTATGTTGAAGACCAGATCTTCTGTTACAGCCTTTGCCAGATTTCTCCATTCACTTCAACAGAAACACAGCCAGCTCCACTGACAGAGGTCTTGACCATTAAGTGCTAGGCATTCCAATCCAACTCTTTTATTCCCAATAACAATGCAATTACTGAACTCTGTGGCACCTTGAGCCCTCTCATGGGACTTGCTATTGGATTCTGCACAAAGGACCTGCTGGTATGCTAACCCTAGAAAGATGGAGACAGAGGATGAAATTGCTTTGTCCCAATCCAAACAGGCTATTTGCAAAGTCATTCCAGATCTGTGAACTGCTTAGCTAGCTCCAAAAGTGAGCAGAGCACACACAGGTACATCTGAATCTTTCTGTATAGTTATTCTACAGTATCTTTTCATTTCCTAGGCTGAATACATAAACCACCACAGAACTGCAGAGTATGGCTTCAGTAATTCCTCTTTGACAATCTGGGCAACACCTAGCATTCAGCCTAGAAGCATCATGACAACTGCTAAATTTAAGATGGGCAATACTGCTTTAAGAACTACATACATAATTAACACTTAAAAGTTGCTGTAGCATGTGAAGCATTCTTCCCTCCTGACATTGTTCCCTAAATTAAATTATAAACCACTTACAATGGCAAGTACTTTTATTTCTCAAATAGATATAAACAGAACCTACATATAACGTTCACATATATGTGAGAATTGTAGCTTTCTGGATAAATAACATTTGTTATTCCCCTCCCAACTATCATAACTTTTTTAATCTAATAGGAATATAAACTTGAAGAAGCATGATATAGTTAGTTATAAACATCTCCTATAGTTATGGACTAATAATCTTAGAAAAACATGTACTTACACAGCATCTTGCCATCATGAGAATTCCTTTGATGTATCTTTCTAACAAAAGGTGTGGGAACAGAATCAAAGTCAACCAAGTAACTTGGTTGTGACAACAAGTTACCAGTCCTCAGGTAACAGACTGGTGGTTAGTTCATTTCAACTTGTAATTTCCTATGACCCTAAAAATACATATTCATATATTCACACAACAAATTTAGCAAAATCGATAGCTGGAGAACCAACCTAGAACTCATAATTACAGGAACAAGTGCTCTTGAAACCAGTACAGGACAAAACCATCCTGCTAAAATGCTTGCATTGCATTTACAGTGTGGCTTCACGAGGTCTCCCATGAGAACACAACGTAAAGTATTTCCTGTTAACCTCCCCCCTCATTCCCAGTCAATCCCATCGCTTACACTGCTACAGCTGTTCATTGCATTGTGGAACAAATTGGTATGGATCAACAACAATGCTGTGAAAGACAGCTGGCTTGGGGTTTTTCCTTTTCATCAGAATGATTTCCCTAATTTGCATTGCCACAAGTGAAGAGGCTGAAGAGGCCAAAGCAAGGAACTAGGGGAGGGAAAAGACAGCATGGCAGAGGCTAAACTTCCCCTCGCTGCTTGTGAAGCTATGCTTTTATGAATGTGTATGACTTCCTCAAACCACGAGAGAGACTGTTGCAACTGGGATATAACAAATTGTAATCAGCTTTTGGTTGTCATCTCTGTAATTAGTGATTTACAGCAAGTGAAAACATTGTCTGAGAAGACAAGACTGCGTTGGCACTAAATGACAGAAAAGATCATTATCAAACAATCACAGCTTATATTAATAAAGAGGAAGATGTCTCATTTCTTGACTTCTTTATACATCTAATTGAGCTGCGTTCTCATTCAAACAAAGTTACTATTACAGGAGATGTCCAGGGAAGATTTGTGGATCATTTTTTGACATTGGTGGTAGGAAATTCATTAACAAATTAAGGTATTGCAGACTGGTTGGAAACTGGAACAGATGGCCAGTCCACAGGACCACAGGAAGGTATGAGAGACATAAAGGGCTCATTTGTAAAAGCTATTTTGAGAAGTATCCCACCTGCAGGACAACTAATAGCCAGTGAGAATTTCTTTTTATGATAAAATGCTTTTAACTTTATGTCCTTGCCTGGTTTTCTTTTGTGGATGGATTTCTCTAAAAGTCAGACTGACCATAATAGAATAGTCATAACAAAGCCAGACTGGCTGTTCTGGGCAGGTGATAGTAAATACAGAGATGCGGTGAGTCATTTTCCCCAGAAGTGATAGGTGAAGCTCAGTTCTTCCTCTGT